TGAAAACTTGTGATCAATCATCAAGAGACAAGTGGACAAACGGAAACCTAGGAATTCTGACCAAATGGACAAACTTTGATTGTGCAAGAATGGACTGCTATCAGTCAGGATTTGGTCCAGAAGTTGATTGAGAGCATGCCAGGGAGAATTGCAGAGAAGAGGGGTCAACACTGCAAATATTGACTTGCTGCATTAACTCATTCTAACTGTCATTAAAAGCTTTTTGTTACTCATAATATGATTGCAATTGTATCTCCGTATGTGATGACAACATCTGACAGATACACATGAAAACCAGAGGGCAGCAGATCATGTGAAAATATTTGTGTCATTCTCCATACTTTTGGGGATGTGTGTCTGTACTTACTATCAGCAGCTCAGTGGATGCTGTTGTAGGAGCATCATAGCATAGAACCTGCATGATAAGTTGTGAAATGATCCAACAGCATAATATTCCACAAGTAACAGTTCCTAGTGTTCTAATAAAATATTTTGTAGATTTAAAGTAGGACCTAAGCAGTGCTGATTTCGTCAAGGATGACGGTAAAACAATTATTTGTTGATGCTCCTTTTTTTCATGATGATAATGAAAACTGAAAGGCTAAATATTGATATTTGTTGACGAAAACTTGAGAGTCATGGGTCTGAGTTTTTGTCGACATGATTAGACTAAATAAAAATTAGATTTTTAAATTAATAAAAAATTGGATTATGTCGAATCGAATCATATCTTTGTGTAAGTGTCGATATATATATCATATCGTGAGCTGAATATCAGACATCGTATCGTGACATTAGTATATCGCTACGGCCCTAATGTGAACTCTGTAAATCAGGCCGTCTCGTCCAATAGCACTATCTGAGCTCACACATGACAAAAGGATTAGAAGAATTAAATCTGATTTGTCAATATAGCGTGTTTCTGGATAGCAACAGCAATCTGCTCAATCAAGAAAGAAGATTTTACACCTTGTTGTCAACAGGAAAAACTGTGAGCTTTAAATTTTTTCTCCCACGATGCTGCTAGTAGCTCCAGAACACAAGTACAGCAGTAGTCTGAAAACAAAGCTTAACATGTTGAAAACCTATAGAATTATTAGTCTTACACGGCTTTATAAAAAAAGCAAAGGACTTTAAATTCTGTTCCAGATTCAACAGCGAGCCACAAAGTGAGTTCTTCAACTTGGCTCTACTAGATCTGATGCAACAAGTCGGGTTTACTCGCAATAATGAAATCCATTTCGGTTCATTTCACACAGCCTCTAATTAGGAGTCACATTACCGAGGTTCAGCTTGGTTCACTTCAAACACGTTAGATCAGCCAGAGCTTCTGTGACAACTCTCCTCTGTTCTCCATCTCACTGTTCCTCCATGTGTCGTCTCTAAGTCATCCCCACCCACTCACTTCTGTTTGTCACAGCCCACATGCCTCCCCCCTCCCTCGCCTCCTCCCCGCTGTCTCGCCGTCCCCACGCACGCAAATGTGCAGAAACAGTCAGGGCTTCACACATGCAGGTTTAACTTCGACTGACACAGTCCCTGCAGCCTCACTGCAAGTTTTCAGCATAAAGACAATAGCTGCTGAATCACCTTTGGCCACAGACTTCCCCACAAAGGAATCACCTCAAGTCATATTAAAAATAAAAGAATAGCAATTAAAGTAATTCTCAAACTGCCTTTCAGGACCATAGGTGATGGATGAAGCTTTTTAATTCTTCAGCTGTAGCTTTATTATTATTCTATTAAAGCTGATTACATGCAGTAAATGTTCTGTGTCCTGTTAACAGGTGGTGTTTGTGGATGGGAACGGTCTGTTCCATTACAGAGGTGTGTGAGTACGTCTTCACTGTTATTTGTGTGGATTGTTTTGTCTTGCTAATAATCTGACAATTATTCATTTCCTGTTAAAACTAGCTTATTTAGGGTTCTATTAAGATTTACACAAGATCCGCCCTTTTTGATTTGACGCCATGTGCTGTAATAACCGTATTATGTCATTGCGAACTAGATGATGCTATTAATTAATCCCATTAAGATAAAGATAACTGGTAGGATTTAAAAAAAATTCTCTTTAAGGAGACATCTTGGCTTTCACTGAGTCCAGATGAATTTTATTTATTATTTTTTTTAAATGCCAAACTGTTGTAACAGTTGTTTAAGAGCGAGACTAGAAAATACTTCTCTGCCTTTGTATTCAAATATATGTGAATATCTGTTTTTTTTTATAGTGTTGAGAGGCGAGACTACGATTGACGTTTTAAGCAACACTCACATGATACAAGGATGAATATGTAAAAATGCATCTACTATCTACTGTTAAGCAAAGCTGAAGGATATGTTGTGTGTCTGTTTCTAATGCAAAAACACCAGGCAAATATTCAGCCTCTCCACAGCCGGCTTAGTCCCCAAATTTAAATATTTTAGAAAACCTTTGGGCTTTGAGTGAAGGAGAAGAGAGAAAAGGAAACTGGATTATTTAGTGAGATTGTGAATTGTAAAAATTCTGGTTTCTTTATGCTTCAGCCTATAGCTGTTCAAGGTTCTGGTCTTTGTTCAATCCAGAAAAAAAAACAAAAAAAAAACTTCAAGCCTATGAGATCTTGCCAAATAAGCCAAATAGAGATGTTGGTGTCATATTTCAGTTAGCACATTCCTTCAACGCTAGCCACTTTTCAACATCTTTACACCCTTCACATTTCATCAACCACTTCAGAGTGTTTAGAAATAAATGAGATGTAAAGAAATTGACTTTATTCTTTGAACATTTGTGTCGGATCAATTTCCGTCTTGTTTGGAAATCAGGTAAATATTTGTAGCAGGGACTCTTATTATTGCTGCACTTATTATATTGGACATCTTTAGCCACTGAATAAATTGGCTCAGACTGATTTAAGTTTCACAACCTTTTAGTGTGATATAAAGCTGCATGACCAAGGCCACCCCTATGTCTGGTCTAGTCTGTAGTATTAGTATTTAATTCATACCGCACAGATGCCTACTTATCTTCACATAACAATATAGAGAGTCCATATTTAAGCAGTAAACTGTCTTTCTTCTGAATGACCTTCTAAGGATCATGATTTTACTAAATTATTTAATCAGGCTTTTATATTCAGGGTCTCCCTGTCTAGACAAATGTCAACAGTGAGGAGTTCATCACAGCAATCACATAACCAGAGCCGACCCTAGATCGTATGCAGCAGGCTCTTTGATTTTGATTTCTTTGTGATCTTAAGTTAATTAAAATTAGAAATAAAATGACCATATTTTTTATTGACTGGTCAAATTAGTAAAGCTATTAAAAAAATTAAGATCAGATTTTCTGATCAAGAGCTTAAAGGAATTTTTTATTATTTTATATTCGCCCTTTTAAAACTTTCAAGCAACTTAAAAAATCAAGTAGGTATTTGAAAAGCAACTCTACATATGTTTATCTGTGTGATTAAATAGCAGCACTCTTTATTTTGAGAGAATCAGTGTTTTGAATCTGTTACAGAGTTCGGCCTGGCGTGTCATCTGGGCGTGTTATCTGGTCTTCCCTGTGTGGGCGTGGCCAAGAACCTGCTGCAGGTGCAGGGCGTGTTTAAAGACCAGCAGCACCAATCACAAGTGAGAACACCAACTGATATTAATCTAGTGATTAATCATAATGATTAAGACTAAACAAAAACAAAAAAACTCCAAACTACTGTATTTTTATCTTTGTTACAATTTTAGCAATTTTTTTTTTATTTTTTTTAATGGCTCATATGTCTTTTAACAATAAATGTAGTCTCAGAACTTCAAAGTAAATTTGTGTAAAAATCACCAATGTAAAGTTTGCTTGAAAACTATTTTCTGGGTTTTTATGTTGTTTTTAAATGAGGAAAAATATCTCGAGAGAAAATCAGATAAATAACTAATAAAAGTGGCTGGGGCTAAGGTGATACTGAGGAAGTTTTTTCTGTTTTAAAACAGCTATTTTCATAATAACAACAAAAATAAAGCAATCCCAGCTGCTTTATATATTTTGTTTCTATTAGTGGAGTTCATTTGCTTCTCATTTATTAGAGCCCCAACCTTGACTGAAGTCTGTTGATTAATTATTAAGTAAAGTTTTCAAAGAACAATTACATTTTTTCTTATTTTTATTTGTTGCTCACTTCAAACGTCAGAGAGGTGTGATGCAAAGGACAGACTTGGTCTTTGTGTGTGTTTCCTTTGCTTACGTATTGACCCGCATCCACATGTTTCTGTTTGTCAGAAGACTGTGTTTATGTTCCCCTTTGACAGTGTGACAAGCTCTTGTTGTGCAGCTAATGCTAATGAGATGCTCTGAATACAAATCAAGCTGGAAAAAAATACCTTTTGGTCTGGGCGTGCAGCTGTGACTGCAAAACCTGGATTTGATTAATATGCAAATGCTCATTTTGTTCCACTTTGGAGCCTCGGTGACCTAGACAAAGAAGAAAAAGAGCAGTTTAAAGTCAAAAATGTACCTGATGAACAAACATGCTGTTGCAGTCTAACACCACAGGTATCTGTACCAAAATAATTCAGTTTAACTCTTTTTACCAACTGAATACTCAGCTGTAAAAAGGGTCAACTTGTACCTTAGCATCTTTGATTCTTTCAAAAAATCAACTAAAGTTCAGTTCCAGCTACCTGCAGCATTCACATTGCATGAGATGCAACAACAACCCAGTTCTGTTGTTTCCAACAGCTGCACCTTTACATATATTTGCACGCACATTATATATATAAGTAGTTTTTCTTTTCCATCCATCCACCCCTCCATCCGTCCATCCATGGTTCTGTCCATCCATCCATATACATCCAT